CGATGATGACTCTCTCTCATCGATGTTTCTATCTCTCTCCCTTCCTCTCTGTACAAAATCAATAAAATACATATTTTTTTAAAAAGTCAAGAGGAAAATGTGATGATGGAATTTTTCTATATCTTGACTATATGAATGTCAACATGATTGTGACATTGCAGCAAGGTTTGCAATATATTATCCTTGAACAACAACAACAAAAATTCTTAAGACTTAAGGGCATGAGTTTCCAGAATGAAATATGCCCAGAAAAGAGAGATAAACAAACCCACACCAAAGCTATACCTTGGGAAATTTCAGAAGAGGGGGGACAAAAATATACAAAAAGCTTCTTGAGAGGAAAATTGCATTTTATATAAAGGATCATGAGAACACATTTTCAAATATGCAAGATATAGCCATGTACCCTTTCCCAGGAAGCTATTAAAGAAGCAGCTCTATGAAAATGAGGAAATAAACTAAGAGAAAGACTACATAAAAAAAGGAAACAGTATGAGCTGAAGACCCAGAATGAAAGTATACACCAGGAACATATCAGTTCTCCAATCAGAAGACTCTATTTATGTCATGCTTCCTAAGAGAAGACTTAGATAAGTGGTGGATGGTTTGGGGTCAAATTAATCATAAGTATATAAGCAAACAAAATAAAAAAGATAAATTATTAATTCCAGGGCAAACAAGTAGTTCAGGAAAGTTAAAGTAATCACAGTTTACTACATGACTAAGCTCTGGTTATCATTTCCATAGTCAACAAAATTACCATATACCTAGATTGAAAGTTGAGGGGATGAGAACTGATACATGTGTATGTTAGGGGCAGAGAAGTCAACCTAAACTTTCCTCTATAACAGAAAATCAGTAGATATGACCTAAAATTCATAAACCAAGAAAAAGCTCTTGAAAAATATGAAGATAATTTTTTAAAAACTCAATTGAAAGTAGTTGCTTTTGCAGAATAAAAAATGAGAGTGGAAGCAGAACTGATTCTTTAAAATCATAACTTCCATAGAAGTATTTGATTTTTTTTAACTCAGCTTTTAAAGATGAAAAAGAAAAAAATCTACTCATCAACTATCCATACCCAGAAAACATTTTTTTAAAATGCCAACTTAATCTATATTCTTAAACTTTAAAAAAAAAAATAAAAAATCTGCACAGTCCTGGCCAGTGTGGCTCAGTTAGTTGAGCACTGTCCAGAACACCAGAAGATGGTGAGTTTGCTTCCCAGTCACAGCAAATATCCAGGATTTGGGTTCAATCCCCAGGTAGGGGTAGGGGCATTGCAGTCGACAACCAATCAATATTTCTCTCTCTTCTTCCCTCCCTCCCTTTTAAAAAATCAATAATTTAAAAATCCAATTCTTTAAAAAAATTATTTTTTAAAAATCTGCATGTCTTTAATAGTATTACATCAACCAACTAAAGAAGTATTTTTAAAACTCTATTTTAAAAATTATTTCAAAGAATTCACACCACAAATGTAGAGACAAGCATAACGCATTCTCTAGCTATTTCATTAGTGCTTGTTTTTCTAATATTCATATTAGTGTTTATACTTGGAACAACAGTGGCTTATTATTAAAAAAAAAAAAAAAAGACATAGTTGTATTTAACATGCCAAGGCTCAATAACTTTATTCAAGATTTTGACAAAAATTATCCTCAAAGTAATATAAATTTACACACTTTATAAAAGTCCAGATGTGAAATTTCAAGAAAATTTTGAATTCAGTCTAGAGTCAATACTAAGTCAAAAACTGAACCAAATTCACAAATCATAAATACTACTTTCCTTCATAAGTTCATTATATTTTCTGAAACAGGTTACCAATTTAGTTTTCCTTTTTCTGATATTGGTATTTGGAATCAGTTTAATAAAGTTTACATCTTTAAGTTCTAAGTTTGTACTTATCCTGAATATTTTGCTATAATTAAAAAATACAAATCCAGAAGTACTATCCCTTCCTTACAGAAGAATTCCAATCAATAAATGTAGAATGAGAGAAAGAGAAAATCACCATTAGACCACCACAGTAGTAATTGACAACACAAGCAAGATTCACAATGGATACCAAAATGAGTGGGCAAAGGTTTAAGCAGAAACAGGGCATTTGCATAGTCTCAAAGTATCTTCAGCAAATATTTAGTAACTACAAAAGAAAGTAATTTTCAGTAGAGAATCCTAACACTTTGGGCAGAGATTAAGATTACAACACCAGAAATACATTACAACATCAGGTGTCATAATATGTTGTCACAGATTGGAGGATCCTACAGACACACTGACAACTAAATGCAAAGTGGGATCCTAGATTGGATCCTGGAACAGTTAAGTAAAAAGTACATTAGTGAAAACTCTAAGAAAATTTCTACTTTTTAAACTCTCTAATAGTATTGTGTCAAAGCAAATTTCCTACTTTGGCAAATGATCCATGGTTATGTAAGATGTTAACAGAAGGGGACTGATGTCACTCCAATAAATTTAAAATTTTTAAAAAGGTTTTATCAGAGAGCAAGTTGAGTGAAGAGTATACAGAAAATACTATTTTTACAACTCTTCAGGAGATCTAAAATTACCTGGAAATTAAAAAAATAACTTAAAAAACATACACACATATTTATAGATGTGTATAATATATATATGTATATATGCATAAATCAGAACAATGGAAATTGGCATCTTGGGCACTCAGTTAAATAGTAGTGTTCTCTGCTGAATTATTCATTGTCTCACTTGTTTATGTTAACTTAGCTTTAAGGGTCTCCCCCTTCTAAATTTTGTTTCAAGTACAATTTTCTAATTTTCATTAAAAAGCCTTTTTAAAAATCCCTATATCAGGCCAAAAATAAAAATCCTAGAATAAAATTATCACCACATTACCTCATAAAATCACTCAACCCAACTATAAGACCCAGCCATTATTTTTATTCCATTTTTTCTTATAATCAATTACATTTCTACTAGAGGCCTGGTGCACCAAATTTGTGCACTGGGGAGGGGAGGTCCCTCAGCCTGGTCGGAGCCCTTGGGGGATGTCCAACTGCTGCGAAGGCAGGAGAGGCTCCCACCACCTCCACTGCCCTCAAAAGCAATGAACCCAGCTTCTGGCTGAGCAGTGCTCCCCCTGTGGGAATGCACTGACCATCAGGGGGCAGCTCCTGCATTGCGAATCTTCCCCCTGATGGTCAGTGCATGTCATCCGACCAGTCAATTTGCACATTAGGCTTTTATTATATAGTATTGGTTTTGTTTTTTGTTTTTGTTTTTAATAACAAGGATAGCAGACAGACTTATTATCATTAATAGGCCTGGCAGTCTAGGAAGAAAAAAAAACAAAACATTATCACTTGGATATCTTATTAAGAAACAGCTGTTTTTCCAATAACAGATACTGTTTACTAAAAGTCACTTCAGGTGTGAAAAGTAAATTACTTACCTAAGTCTTCTATAAGATAGCATAGAACTACCCAAGAAAGCCCAGATAAGATCCTTTTCAATATTCCTTCTTAAATTTGGCTCTAAAATTATTGTTTTTAGTGGTAATAAGCATCACTTTATAAAACAGACAATACTTCCTATGCAATTTATTCTAGAGAAATAAACATCAAATTTACTTTTAAAAGAAAAAATAATATTTCTCACTCTTACTATGGCTGATTCATTCCCTGAGCATGAATGAATTCTCTTTATCCTCATTGTTTTATAAAATGAACTGAAATCTGCTGATAGGGATCTTGATGGTGAAACTAATTTTTTAGGTGAAGAACAGCATTTCCAAATAGTTTATTACTATTACAGTTATTTCTACCTACTGTGGCATTTAATTTTTCATGTACCTATCACAATGCTGCACTTGGAAGCAGCTCTAGTGAAAAGATAATTAAGGGGAGGAAATGGAAATTTTAAAGTGTATCTTGCTGAGGCCAGTTTGGCTCAGTGGATAGATGTTAACAGAAGGGGACTGATGCCACCCCAATAAATAAAGAGGTCCCAGATTCGATTCCAGTCAAGGGCATGTACCTTGGTTGCGGGCACATCTCCAGTAGGGGGTGTGCAGGAGGCAGCTGATCGATGATTCTCTCTCATCGATGTTTCTGGCTCTCTATCCCTCTCCCTTCCTCTCTATAAGAAATCAATAAAATATATATATTTTAAAAAAGATTTAAAAAAATTATAAAGTGTATCTTTAGCCAAATACAATGAAAGAGCAAAAAAGAAAAATTGGCCACAAATATTTTCATTTATATGCCCATGCCATTTCCAAATTGCCTTCTGCTATTAACATGAGAAGTTGAAGTGGTAAAACTCTAACCTAATGATCTATACAAAAAAGGAGACTATCTCAGAAACTCACTACACATTGCAATATATTCAAATGGTGAAAAGATATAAATTCATTCAGAAATACCATACTATCTGGCTGTCAATATAGTCTCTTGAATAATTATATTAAACATATTACTACAAAACGTACCAAGAAGTAGAGAAGAATACTGTATTTGTGAACTGCAATAACAAAACAAATCAGAGGTCCCACAAAGCTAACGTCCAAGCTGTAATTACACGGCATGTATGCTGAAAGCAGTCACAATGTACAAAAATGTGACAAGTAATCCAGATGTTTTAAAAAACCTGTTTGTCTCAGATTTTATCCAATCTCATCTGGTAGGTTTCTGATAAGCCTGTTACATAAAGTGTATTTTCCTCCTGCTGATAAGAAACAGCTTGCAGATATCCATAAATCTCTTAGGAAGTGAACCTACTTTGCAATATTGGTAACTCCAAAGTTTCCTATTACATTCATTCGTCTGAAAACTGAAAACAATTCATAATGAAAATGTTTTTCCAAGTCCTTTACCAGTTTTTCAAGTTTTAAATCAAAGGAAAATTGGAATGTATTGCTTCTTGTCATCAACAGGCATTTCAAAAAAAGGGTAAATAACCCAAATCAGGAGTATTGGTCAAGTTAGTAACAGGCTTCCCCTTTGTTCTAAATCCTTTCATAATCCTTTTTTTTCCAATTTTTCCAGTATGGCCTGAATTTTACAAACAGCCTCTTTCCTGGCCTGTCGGACAGAGTCCTGGCCCCCAGTTTCAACTGAATCCAGTTCCAAAAGTTCCTTGGTTAGCATCTCTTCCAGAAGCCAATATGCTTTGTCTGTCTTTTTTCCTATGAACTCTTCTACTTCTTGGTCAAGATATTGGACCTTCTCCATCACTTGTATGATTTTCTTAATACTTGGGGGAGTACCTTCATCTGAAGGCAAACACTCTTCAGGAAGATTATTACTTTGCTCTTGATTGCTGGGATGTTCACTGGTGGTGTTACCATACAGCTGAGGCTCAGCACTATACTGGACTTGGGAATCCAAATGATCTGAATTATCACTGCTCACTGTTCCCGAGGACTCATACTGATGGACACTGCAAGGAAAGTTGTGCCGGTTCATGCCTTGATCTGATTGGCTATAGGGGTATGAGGAATCCTTGAGGTGGGAGGGCAAAGGGGGAGAAAGCCGTTTTAAAGGGAATCCATTAACATCAGATTTGTTAGAACACATCTATCACCTGATCAGGAAGGTACACGAAAAGATTCCCCACCAATTATACTGGACCTCCCTCATTAATGATTTGAGAAAAACACAGCCCTAAAAATATTAAAGTGAGTGCTCTCTCAAGTAAAAGGCAGAGAATTCCTGAGTATAATGGATAGAATCTACCTGGGTAGTTCATCATGAACACTTCATAATCTACCCTTACTACCTCACAATCCACTGAATGACTTAATAAATATAAATTAGATAGTTTTGCCCATAAAAAATTAAAACCTTAATGCACATCTTGAAAAACCAATCATATTGGTTTTGTCTACTATCTATAGATTGAGATAATAAAATGCCAAGATTTGATTTAATGTTCAAATAGTATTACAACAAACAGTAAATGAGCTGTCTTTTAGAAATATTTCTTTTAGAAATCTGCTCTAAAAAAGGTGTGTTTTTTTTTTTTTTTTTTTTTTTAAAGGAAACGGGGGCTAGATAAAGCTTTAGGTACCATGTTTCCCCGAAAATAAGACATCCTCTGAAAATAAGACATCCTCTGAAAATAAGACCTAGCGCATGAAAAGATAAGACATCCCCTGAAAATAAGACCTAGCATAACTTTGGGAGAAAAAATTAATATAAGACACTGTCTTATTTTTGGGGAAACAGGGTAGTAATCATCAGTGTTAAGTAATTAGTTCCCGTTTAACATAAACCAATGTAGAAGATTTTCATGCTGTCCTTTCTTAACCACCCAAACATCAAAAGAACAACCTTTAGGTCTCCTACCTTCGGCTGATGGGGGGGTGATGATGGAGGTGGCTGAGGAGAGCCACCACTAGGCCATGGTGAAGTACTTTCACTCATGTAAAGATTCCCAGGTGGTGCTGAGGGCGCAGCTGCAGGCCAGGGGTAACGGGTTCCCATTCCATAAGCATCAGGAGAAGCCCACGAGTCTTCTTGTGGTCGAACAGATGGTCCTGGCTGTGGAACACTACGATTATCATCACCATAAGGATAATGGGGCAGGGTCATTCCAGGGTTCTAGATTGAAAAGAAGAAAATATGCGGTCATTGCTAAAAAAAAAATAATAATAATTTTAAAGTAATGAAAATATCTTAGTTTTAACAGATTCTGAGATACTACCTCTTTCCTTAACAGAGTATATTTTAGTTATACTGAGCTAAACTGTAGCATCTCTGTTCAGTTATAGCAATTTTTCCAAGCCTAAAAAAGCTTGGTTCCAAAGATACCAGGGGCAGATTTGCTGATGATCAAATTCAGAAGGAATAGGGTCTAAAATTAAATGTCTGAAACACAATGTAAATTTGCCTCTACGTACTATAAGTAGACCCATATTCTATAAGGAAGCAGAAACAAAGACATATTGTGGATGAAAAAGGGGCCACATACTAAACCTGACAAGCTCAGGGATGCCTGCATGGTGGGATTTACAAACTCAGAGACCAACCACTTGTAATGGTTTGAAATTACAACTTCCTATAAAAGTGAGTCTTGGCGGGTAGTCATGTCCTAGGCCAGTATCTTCCTTGACAAGGACCAATCTTTACCTTAACTGAACCTGTCTATTACCTTTTTGTATCTATGATAACATACCTTTGGAATGTCAGAGTAATCCCGTTTTTTTTCCAGACCCCTCAGGGCACAGTCTTCCACCAGAAAACTAGAGAACAGAACCCCTCATTGTTGTCTTGTTCTCCCACCTACTGGCTCTACATTCCGGAAGAGTTAACTGTTTACTGTCCTGTACCCACCAATGAGAAAAAAAATATATGTCTCCCAATTTTACTCTTTATCCAACCCCAGAAATTTCCTTATTCTGCTTTCTCCCAATTTTCCATCAGTAGACTCATGTAACCTTCCTTGGGTCTCCTCCTTTGATTCTAATGTATAAAATAAGGTGCAAAACTGCCATTCTCTGAAGCATTTTCTCAATCCACTAAGATTTTGCTTCCTGGCAATTGTCAGTTTGGCTCAAACTCATAAAAATTCTTCACAGGTTTGGATATTTCTTTTATCAACATATTATAATTCCTTTTAAAGTGAACAGAGAAATAAACATGACATCACTCATAGAATATTAAAAAATGCAAACCCAACAGAACAATGCTCACCTGTGGTGCAGGATACCCTGGAACCTGCGTCCTAAGAGGAGGAGCTTCAGCCTGGCAGTCCTGCTGGGGATACATCCAGCCAGAGACTGGGGTTGGGCTGTTGCCAGGTGAACGGTAAGTGCTTGGAACCTCTGTGGAGTAATTGTTCTGAGAATATCCAGGTGTGTAATAAGCCCCAGAGTATGAGGCAGTATTTGCCCCAGGGCCAGTGGGGTACGGTGGGCCATATGCTCCATTTGTATAAGAGTTCAAACTCTGTAAAAAAAAAAAAAAAAAGCAAAGTTGAGTGGAAAAAAAAAAATTGAGTCAGTGGTCGGCAAACTCATTAGTCAACAGAGCAAAATATCAACAGTACAATGATTGAAATTTCTTTTGAGAACCAAATTTTTTAAACTTAAACTTCTTCTAACACCACTTCAAAATAGACTCGCCCAGGCCGTGGTATTTTGTGGAATAGCCACACTCAAGGCGCCTAAGAGCCCCATGTGGCTCACGAGTCGCAGTTTGCCTTCTAGTGCCCTGACTTATTGCCCAACTTTGAAAACTTTGGAAAGAGATCAGTAGTTAATGAAAATATAAACTACTAAGCAATCTTTAAAGCATTCTTTCATATATTATAATCACATATCATATATTAAACTCAGACTATCATTGTAGAATCTGTGTCATAACAATGGGAGAGTATATTGTGATGATATGCCTTAGAGCAATGCTTCTATTCCAAATATTTCCATAGGTATACATAATAATTAGATCTTACAGCAGAGAACTTGTACTCACAATCTGGGAAATGGGTTCTGGGCAATGTGGATACAAGATGGCCACCACAAGATGGCCAGCAGGGGAGGGTAGTTGGGAGGGACCAGGCCTGCAAGGGAGGGCAGTTGAGAGGAACCAGGGGGTTAAAAACCCTGCAGAGGAGGGCATTTACGGGTAACCAGGATAGCAGAGGAGGGAAGTTGGGGGCAAATAGGCTGGCATGGAAGTGGTTAGGGAGTGATCAGGCTGGCAGGCAGAAGTGGTTAGGGGCAATCAGGAAGGCAAGCAGGTGAGCAGTTGGGAGCCAGCAGTCCTGGATTGTAAGAAGGATGTGCAATCCATTGGGATTGGGTCTAAAAGGGCAGTCGGACATCCCTCGAGGGGTCCCAGATTGGAGAAGGTACAGGCTAGGCTGAGAAACAAACCCTCCCCCACCTTGTGCACGAATTTCATGCACCGGGCCTTTACTTAATAAAGTTGCACTCTTTATAGTAAAAAAGTTTTTTATGCTATTAAGAATGTAATTAAATCAAGTGTGTCTAGAATCTAGAGGGCTGCTAGGACCACAGATTCTTCATTGGTATCTGAGCAGAGTATTGTGGGGGTTTTTGTAATCCTTATCCAAGGATATTTTTCCATTGATTTTTAGAGAAAGTGGAAGGGAGGGGGAGAAACATCGATTTGAGAGAGACACACGGATCGGTTGTCTCCACCCTGGGATCATGCCTGCAACCAAGGTACGTGCCCTTGACAGATTCAAACCCAGGACCCTTCATCCACAGATGACAGTCTTCTAAGTACACTATTTTAATGAAGAGGAAACATGTATCTGATGACAGCAAGCTGTGATGTGAAACATGTCAGCAGTTATGTCAAGAGATGAAACTGAAGAAGAATTAAATAAAACATTTGACAGTCAGTGAATTTCTGTAAAACTAGAGGCCGAGTGCACGGATTTGTGCACATTGAAAGGAAATTAATTAGAAGGTGGTCAGCGGACTGGGAGAGATGGGCCAGACCCACCCTGGAGCCAACCTCCCTTGGTCACATCTGGAGCGACACTGGGACTCAAAAGGTGTCTGCGAAGTGAGCGGCGTCCCTCCAGCAGGTGGGGTTCCTCGGCCTGGCCTACGGGGATCGGGCCAAAGCCAGCAGTTCAACATCCCCCGAGGAATGTAGTAGTGCATGAAGCGGCAGGCAGCTGGGAAGGAGCCCAGGCTGGGCACCGCACCTGCTCATCCTTGCCCTGCTATGCCTGCTGTGCCTGCCACCGTCACCACTACCACCACTACTACCACCACCACCACCACCATGCAGTGTGCCGTCGTGGAGGTGAGAGAGGTTTACTCTATCCAGCTGCTCTCACCAGCATCTGGCATTCGTCCATCAGTTGAGCAGCACTCCTGCTGTGGAAATGCACTGACCACAAGGGGCAGCTCCTGTGTTGAGCGTCTGCCCTGTGGTGGTCAGTGTGCATTACCGCAACTGGTCAAACGGTCATTTGGCTGTACAGTCCCTCAGGCTTTTAGAAAGATAGATAGATAGATAGATAGATAGATAGATAGATAGATAGATAGATGATAGATAGATAGGTAGGTAGATAGACAGACAGACAGACAAACAGATAGATGTACAGTCCCTCAGGCTTTTAGATAGATAGATAGATAGATAGATAGATAGATAGATAGATAGATAGATAGATAGATAGATAGATAGATAGATACTCAATCTGGATTCCACAGGAAGTCAAGAGACTGGAACTTTTTAAACTCAGAGAAATTCCAAATGCTGCTCTTGTTCTAGATGTAATATAGGCAGGCATGACTTAGCATTCAAAAGTGAAAATATGGCATTACATTGCAAGCTAAAGATTATCTAGTATGATATACTTCTACCAAAAGTTGATTTCACAGTTAATGGACTTTTGTATGGATGTAGAATCCCAAGAAAAGTGGTCAGATCTCTCACTCAAAAAACAATACACTGTTCAATAAATTCCCTTTTCATCTGATAAATGAATATCAAATAGCAAACATAAATAATAATAAAAAATTCCTCTAGCAACACCACAACTCCTTCTGTTTTGTTTATATTGAAAAACATGGAAGGCTTCACTACAAAATATTCCAAGATTTCACAATTATCAACAGTCAACATCAACTTGAATTTCTATTAATACTCATTTTTGGAATTGTCAAGTCAATTATCACCTCCCAGTTGCTTCCTCATGCATTACCTCTACAGTTTTTGTCTCACAGGAGTGCCTCACCATAGTACTTAATAAGCTGTATTTTACAACCTAGCTCCACTTTAAATTAAATGAAAAAGTGATACAATGCCTTTTTGTATCATGATTTCTCAACTCAGAATGTTATAAAAGGACCTCAGTTCTTTGTTAGATCATCTCTATCCCCAGGCACTCGGTGTTCTGTGGTGTAATCTGTCAGAAGCCAAGAGAATATCTCCTTTATCAGAAAATCAATGTGAAAACACCAAACATCTTCCATCCTCTCCTGCAGGGCTTCAGAGAAATAATTTGATCTGGCCGTGCCAAGGCATTAGGGGTGAGTTAATTAAATGTTTGACCACATATAGCAGTCTAATTTTTAAGTTGATAATTTTGTATGGCCTGCAAATTATGTTACAAATATCCAAATGGCTCTTGGCAGAAAAAAGGTTCCCCATCCTTGCTTTAGAAGGTATAAAGAAGAGCTTTAGAAAACTAGGTTGAATTAATAATCAAAAAGAACATTTTACTTTTCTAAAAAACTGATTTTTAGAGAGAGGAAAGGGAAGAAGAGGAAGAGAGAGAGACATCTATTGTTGCCTCCCACATTCATATTGACTGTGATGGAACCGCAACCTGGGTATGTGCCCTGATCAGAATTAAACCCTCTGCCTTTTGGTGCATAGGACAATGCTCCAACCAACTAAGCCACACTGGTCAGGGCTCAATAAGCGGATTTTAAACAATCCACATCGTTACTAGAAAACTGCATGTTTGTCATACAAATTACTTCCTGTTTTTTAGACATTTTCATGGGTTCATACCTTTTCCCAAGTACCCCCTTTGTTGGTAGATCAGTGACCTAAAATGTGCATGTGCACAAAAGAACATGGAGTCAGTAGAATATGTATCAACCAGTTGCTAAAGATGTTGGCTAAAGATGAGATAACGATCATATTTCAGAAATGTTTCCAAGTTTTTAAGTCTTCTTCTGAAAAGTAGTCTGGCAGGCACAGCAAAGAACATAAATAAGTTCCTGGCCCAGTTTCAGAGCTCTGAAACAGAAGCCGAAGAGGAAGAAAATCAAGACTAGGCTTCTTTCACTTCCAGAAGTCCTTGATGGAAATGAGTTATCAGAGAAAATAAGAAGTAATCTTAGTTTAAAGAACTCAGGGAATACCTCACAAACTTCATCAACAGTCTGGTGACACAATATCTTCTGCCTCTGTATGAGTTGGTGTACTTCAGTGCTGCTCACACCCTGCTCCATGAATCGCCCTACATGCTCCTCTTAACAATCCTTACTATTAGCTGAAGAACGAAGCTCTGAAAAATGAGGAAAGCTATATATCAAACACTGCTCCAACAGCTGCACAGTACATAAACTGCACTTGAAAGTGAAGCAGGCTAATCAATGTGGTAGATTGATCAGAAGCCTTAGCAACATTAACAGCTTTTAAAGAAATGGATGTAAATTCCACACACTCAGAAAACAAATACATGTAATTATGTATTCTTGGCTTATTAAAACTGTTCCTAAATTAGAATTTTTAAGATTTATAAACCCTATCAGATAGAAGAATAATCTATGTGGCAAGACTAACATGAAGTAGCAGTGAGAAGGCGAATGAATGTAACCATTTAATATATTTTTTTTTAAAATAAACCAGTCATATCTACATATCACTACAAGAGTCTGTTTTGGTCAGAAGATAAACTGTAATTCCCCCACGATGTTTCATCAGAAAATACAGGTGCTATCCCATTCAGGTAATGTCTACATACCTTTGGGTCACTATTGTTGCTTTCAAAAAATCATTACAAATAATAAGTGACTCTTTCTTAAACATATGTAATATATCCATGTAATAAATTCCTTCACATAAGAGGGGGAAATGCCATGTCCTAAGAACAATCTTTACCAATAAGATCAACTGATGTAATCAAGAAAATTAGCACTGCTAAGAAAAATTGTGATTCATGACTTAAAAGAGTTATGTCATTCTCTCACATTACCTGTAAAAGTAATGCATGCTACTCCTCAAATTGATTTATATGCAATCCCAACGAAAATCCTAGGTACCTTTTGTGCTGAAATTAAAAGGTCATCCTAAAATTAGTATGAAATTGCAAGGGACCCAGGACAACCAAAACAATCTCGAAAAAGAAAGTTGGAGGATTCATCCTCACTGACTTCAAATTTTATTACAGAACTATAGTAATCAGAACAACCTGATATTGCCATAAACTCATATATATGGTCAACTGA